GGATGAAATCGGATAGGGATGAACAGGTTTAAGAGTTTTTAAGAGTTTAAGAGTTTTAAGAGTTTTAGCCAAATGCTTTATAATATAGTATAGATATTTAATATTTTTTTTACCATTAACTAAAATTATGTTAGTATGTTTTAAAATTAAATTATTAAGGTTATAGAATGATACTCTTTGGTTATTCTTGATAACCCAAAAGACTAAGGGGTTGTTTGTTTACCTCATAATGTGAATATTAATGTTATACATAAAAAAATAGGAATGCACTATTGATTTTATGAAAGTCTGAATTTTGTTTTTCATTTTTTTCTCCATTTGTTGAGATCCATGTGTCACTTTCGTTGATTAAAATTTTAATTGTAACGGTGTTTGTTCTTTACTTTTTTGGTTTCACATTTGTTAATTAATTGCCAATGATCAAGTTTATAGATTTATAAGAGTTACACTTTTTAGGTATGTCAGCCCATGGGCAAACCTGACGTATTTATAGGGCAGACAATGGCAAGTTGTCAAGCCTGGAAAAAAAGACTTAGATTTACAATATTAGATCCGTTGGACAAAAAAAAATAAAGTTAGGTTCGACTCAACTCCAGTCAGACCCACAAATGATCACCTCTAATGCAAATATATACATGATCATAAAAGTTGTTTTATTTTTATGTATTAACATAAAAATTTCAAAATTTTAATATAAAAAATTATATTAAATTTTTTCTTCTTAATTTCTAAAGAAATTACGGTCTTTGTTTGAGAGGTACTATATATCACAAAATATCGGATCATCATAACCAATGGTTTGAATGTGTTATTCGATTCTTTTTTAAGATTCTCGCTGAATCTTATCCTTGTAAATAAAGATGATCAAATGAAATCTCAAAATATTGTGATAACCGTGAAAACTTATACTCTAAGGTATTGTTTTGCATATTTTCTCCATCTAATGTTAGAACTTATGGTCCGTCTAGTTTGTAAGCTTGTTTTTTAGGGATTTGGATTTGGATTGGAATAAATTTGAAATCATTGGTGTGTTTGGTTTGTAGGATTTGAAATGGATCTGGATTCCATTATTTATAGATAATTTATAAAAAGATTAAAAATAATTTAATTATATTTTTATTAATCGATTATTACAAAACAAATGTTTTTGACATTATTTAAAATCTTATTTCATATAATCCTGCAAAATCCCGAATACTCCCCAAGGATTTCAAAATCCTATATTTGTAGGATTTCAAATCATGACAATCTAAGAAACCAAATATGAAATTAGAATGGATTTGAAATCCAAATCCTCTTAAATCCATTTCAATTCTGTAAACCAAACGGAACCTTAAGATATTGATTAATATATAGTTGTTCACAATATGTTTGTTTTATATGTTCTTGTATATATTTTTGTGAATACAAACTTTTAGAGAAAGTTTTACGTTGTCAAATAAGTACATGTGAAACAAATATATGTTAATCATACTTAAATTTCAGCTATAAATTTAAACTTCTATATAAAATAACATATGATGCATCGTTTCATTTTAAACAAGAAATGAAAATTTTAGATGTTTGTGTTCACATATGATATTTAAATTAACGCGATTTAATTCAATTTATAGATTATAAAGTATTCAATGTTTTCATGGTAGAAGATTGAATAAAAAATTGATGATTATTAATATTTAAAAACAAAAATCAAATAAAAAATAATGACGATAAGTACTGTAACTGCCACCTCGTCCTCGTCTCCATAAAAGCCGCTGTCATTTCTCTCTCTATCTCTCTCCAACCATCACCTGAGACGGATCCTCATTCACACGCGCCGCCACTCCCCACCACCAATACAAACATCACTCACACATCGCACCCACCACTCTTTTCCTTCCACCAATTCAAGATTGCAAACCAACACACGATTTCAACAAACTTCCAGCTTTAATTTATGAATCGAACTCGCCTATTTACAGATGGGAGGAGTAACATCATCTATCGCTGCCAAGCTCGCTTTCTTCCCACCTAGTCCCCCGTCTTACACGGTGGCCGTTGATGCTTCTGGTGACGGCCGGCTCATTATTCCCGAGGTTCCCAGGAGGGATGGCGTTGATGTGTTGAAGCTTCAGACTAAAAGAGGTAACCAAATAGTTACCGTACATATCAAACACCCCAAAGCTCGAGCCACCCTTCTTTATTCTCACGGTAATGCCGCCGATTTGGGACAGATGTTGGAGCTTTTTGTCGAATTGACTCATCGTCTTCGCGTTAATGTTGTTGGGTATTCACTTATGATTCTTCTGTTTCATATATCCACTGATTAATTGTTTTCCTGCATAATTTTGAACAATTTATGATCTGATATTTGTGGGTGCTGTTTAAGAATATTGATCTTAATTTAATGCTCAACTGATTGAAAACAGGAGTCAATTCTGGACTTTTTAATTGTGATAGTGTTGGTTTTTTTAAAATTTCTGATAACTAGAACTAGACAAAATCATTAGAATAGATGCAGCAGCTAAAATACTAGAAGCATCAATCTCACTTTTATATTCATAGCTTTTTGGCATCTTGTTGCATGTGTTTTTGTGGAAAGCTATAGGTTTGTTGTTTATGTGTCGGTTGGATATTTGTGATCTTAATTGATCTTGATCAAACAGTTAATTGGTTTGATGGATTATCTTGGTATGAATTTAGATTCTTTGATGATGTTAATTAAATGGGTTCTTTTTACTGTTTCTATTTGATTATGCGCATGCTTCAGTTTATATTCGTAGTTTTGAGCATGCTTGGTTGTTCGTAGCGCATTAAAACGAGCATTTTATTACCTTTGACATCTGTACTTTCTTGTATATTTGCAGCTATGATTACTCGGGATATGGACAATCAAGCGGAAAGGTTAGGTTCTATTTACTTTCTTGTCTACTTGGTGTTTATTTCTCTGCACATCAAGTTAACGAGAGTCTTAGAATTTGTTTGTTGGCAGCTTAATGAATTTGGTCAACTATATATGACTGTTTGGTAGTGGCTTAACGATCCAGTCTAGGGAGAGCTTTATGCAAAAAGCTAAGTTTTTTCTAAAGCTCCTCCATCTATGAAAAAACACTCCCAAAACAAAAATTTTCTCAATCTATACACACAATGTTGGCCATATAGAATTTAATTGAAAACTAACCAAACAACCTTTTAGACATCTAGCAGCTCATATGCACTTCCTTCTAAAGTATAATTGGTAAGGCTAAAGCTATGTTTGGCAAACTAGTTGATAAGCTTGTTGTTGGCACTTGGTTGATAAGCTAGCCTTTAGTTGATAATCTAGTTACATTTGGTCAAAAGTAGCCGATAAGCGAGATAACAATGTAAAATGACATAAAAAACATGTTGAAAAATTAATTGAAAAAATGTTAAGGACATGATTGGGAAAAAGTGGAAAAAACCCATGGAACTTATTGAATAGCTACTTCAGATAAGGTTAAAAAAGCTAGTTTATGGCCTGTTTTAGTAAGCTGAAAAAATAGGCTAGTTTATGGCCTGTTTTAGTAAGCTGAAAAAGTCGGCTAGTTTATGGTTGTCAAACATGGCCCGAGCCTTGGTCATGGTTTCATGAAGAGTGTATTGGTTAACTTAATATGGCTTTTCTCATGATATGACAACAATTTTGTTTCTTCGTGGTCGTCTTCTAACAGCCATCTGAGTGTAATACGTACGCGGACATTGATGCAGTATATAAATGCCTTAAGGACATATATGGGGTTAAAGATGATGAACTAATCCTATACGGTCAATCCGTTGGTAGTGGTCCAACCATTGATCTTGCGTCACGTGTACCGGACTTGAGAGGCGTGGTTCTACATAGCCCTATCCTCTCGGGGCTGAGGGTACTCTATCGTGTCAAAAGAACCTATTGGTTCGATATTTATAAGGTAATAACCCAATTTTACATCTGGAGTACTCCAATACTTGTTCAATTGTTCTGTGTTTGGAGTCCCACGTTTGCTAGACTTGGACCATTTCTCCTGAATATATGGTGGAACCTCCATTCTCTGGGCTTTTTTGGGGTGTAATCTGATGAAGTTCCACATGTTCTCGCATTCTTGTTTCTTTTGCTTTCAGAACATTGAGAAGATTGGTTTGGTGAACTGTCCTGTTCTGGTCATTCATGTAAGTTTCCCCTATAAAGATCCCTTTCTTCATTCAGGATGTTTATTCCACCTTCATCGTTTTAATCTGAAATAAGATTAAGATGGGCAAAAGATCACTCAATTGAACAAATCATTTGTTAACGAAAACTAGACGGGCAGGCGTCTATTTGTGATAATCTGTTGCTAAAAAACTGAAAATTCTGTATGAACAGGGAACAGCAGATGAAGTTGTGGATTACTCTCATGGAAAACAGCTATGGGAGCTCTGCAAGGAGAAGTACGAACCGCTATGGCTAGACGGGGGCGGCCATTGCAACCTTGAGCGCTACCCGGAGTTCATCCTACACTTGAAGAAGTTCAGTTTGGCTGTTGGAAGACCAAAATCCGTCAAGAATGGGTCTAAAGATGTCGAGAACCAGAAGAAAGGGGCTTCTGATCTGCCAGAATTTCCTAGGAGTAGTTTAGATGGTAGAGTCAAGAAGTCGAACAAATGTGACAAGTCTCGAAAAAGCATCGACGGGTTCAGAAGAAAAAAGGGCTTAGCATGGTGACATTTCAGTATTTACTCTAGTTTTCCTGTCTCTTTATTTCTTCTATTCTATGCCATGTAAAGTAGAACCACGAATAAGTTTAAAAATATATAAATAGAAGTATTATTTGCAATTGTTGTAATCTATATATGCAAAGTGATACATTTACACGGTAATCTAGTAATACATAATGCTTATCAAACAATCATAAGATTGTCTATTGAACCAATTATTCATTTTAAAAATTATACAGATTCTCTTAATCATTCAGTATCTACCCTCTCTGCTCGGGAAAACCATGGAAGAAGACCTGCAGGTTTTTATCTGCTCAGATCGACGACCCTGGCCTACTCCATTGTTTACTCTCGAGCTTTCCATCTCCATGAATCTGTCTGCCTGTTCAGTTATGCCGACACGGGTTGCTATCTGGCAGATATCAATCTGCCGATATTGGATCTACAAGCGAAGTAGAACTAGGAGATGAATAGCCATGCCCACCACTCAGCATGCACAGAACCAGCTGTGTCGGAGACTTCCACCAACAGAATTATCTCGCCATTTCTTCATTCATGTCTCTGTGCTTCAAAACGTCCTGAATAGCAAGGAAACCACTCTTTTAACATGAGAAATCGATGACAGCAGTTTAATCATTGGTCAACAGACTTTCTCTACATGGGTACTTCAAATATTTGAATAATAACATACATGGTACAGGTGCAAATGAGAACCATAAATATTTTGAGAACCTAAGAACCAACCATTCATGTATTATTCATAATGAATAACCACAAATATTCATCATATTTTAGGTGAAAAGTGAAGATGCTGACTAGAAGTACTGAGGCTCACCAATTTGCACTTCAGTTCATAGATTGCCTGCTGCCTCATGTTTGCAAAAAACTTCAATGACTGAAACAGAAATACAAAACAAAACCATTATATTCATATGGATATGGAGCATGGATTATATAAGATAAGAAAATAACAAAAACACACCATGAAGAACAAGAGGTTTACTTACCCCAATTCTTTGCATCTCCAAAGACTTGCGTAACGCTTCTCTTTTACTAAGGAGGTTTCTTGAAAACTTTAAAGGGCGTTTATAGTTCTTCCCACGATACATAATTATAGCATACCCGAGTTTCAGCTTCTCTATGGAAACAAGTATCCCACCACTTTCGGCTTCAAGACTTTGTGCAGTGTACAAGATCCTCGAAAACGCCCTTTGCATTGTGATCACTTTCACTATTTCCCTATGCTTCCAGTGTTGATGCAAACCTTCTATTACACCATCAAAGACGCCCCGTCGTCCTAAAATCCAACATTTAAATAAATAATACGATTAATTACAAAAAAGAAACAAATGTAGTACAGTCCATTCGCCGATATAACAAATATATCCATGATAATTAGTCCATTCTACTTACCAAGTACTAATGTGCTATCCATCTTCAACCCCATCTTTCGCAAACACTCTCTCTCTTCACTTGTTATGATCTCTCGGTCCTCATTCGGCTCAATGGGCTCCCATGAAGAGTTTAACTTCTCCAACTCTTTCGACACCTTATCTATCTTCATCTTAAGCTGCAACAGGAATTCGCTGCATTAGTGTCTCTTCATTTTTCTCAACCGAATGATACAAAAATAATTGAAAATATACGTACAATGAAATACTTGCGCTCTTGATTCCGTATTTCTTTTTCTAATTTTAACTTTTCGGTTTCTACTTGAACTTCAGCTTCACTAGTTCTAGGCTTGAATCCTTGATGTTTTGACTGAATACTCTGAAATTCTTGTAATGTACCAACGGTGCTAGAATCTGATAATGGTTCATCGATGTAGTGAAAGGTTTCAATTGTGTGAGTGCGTGCTGCTTCTTCTTGAAGCTGGAAACTTTTCAGCGCGATTTCTCTGTCAGCAACTAGGTCTGCAACACCAGGAGGAAGGAAATCCTTGCCTCTGTATAGTATTATATAGAATTTATTACGTAGTAATAACACTCCGCCAGTGAGAACCTGCATATACAAAGACATCATCTTAAGTTTCCCAAAATTCTCTAGGATCAGAAAGTTTAGGATCAACAAATTAAACACATAATAACAGTGGAAAGATATCAAACACACTACGTCAATGGTTGAAGCTTCACCAAAGGCGTGGAGCGCATGTTATTTTGCCATATATAAATATTGTATACTTCGGAAAAAATATTATCTAGGAAAGGAATTATAAATACGGAATCATCTGACAATCAACTACCCATTACCAAAAACTGGTGAAATAGCATAGAAAAGATTTCGTTTCTTTAGGTTCAAAAAGAGAGATTCTAATGTCTCGAGTTGGTAACTAAACTTACTTTCAGCTCCGAAGCCATCTGCTCATTTCTTGTGTTGGGAATGCCCCATTTCACAGCGATCTTTGCAATGTGACATTTCTCCCACAGTTTTAAGATGGCTGCAGCCAAGCCTTGGAGGTTTCGGTTTCTCCCTGTACAAGGACAAAAGAAATAACGGAACGATCTTGAATGCAATCTTGATGCATCAAAATAAGACTTAGAAGCCATAGAACGAAGCATACAATTCCCATATCCAAAGTGCCAAAATTCAAAATCAGTGACTACCACTCTTTGAATCATTAAATATACAGGAATCATTAAAAAGAATAGTGAAAGCAATGTAAATATAGGGAAAATGTCCATACCAAGGACAAAATGGGTAGGTAAAGGGTAAGCAAGCCTCCTCAAGTGCGTTAACTCATCGTCTGTTAGCTTAGATCTAGCATTCATTGGGCAACGCCTTGATGGAGGCTTGTATCCAGGAACCAATTCTGGAAGCATGTCTGCATCAATGGGCAATGGCTTTGGCATCCACCAATCAACAAACCGAGGTCCCAATCCATCCAATAATCTATCAGCTTCCCTTTCGTAAAGTGACCCTTGAACCACCATCGTCTCCTCTTTACCATCATTCCCAGCAACCATTTGATATGTGGAGTCCATACCAAATTTATCACGCAAAAAAGGAACGCCGCCCAGATAACTAGTTTTGCAAGAATTAAGCTCTTGACCACCATCAAAACTGGTGTGCATTTCTTTATGATTGCATCCTCTATAGATAGCAAGAGTATCCTTCTTACTCCATACCACAAAGCCTCCTGTCTTAATCTGCTAGCCATTAACCACAAATGCTATTTTAGACATGGAGCTCGATCAGTGTATACCCAAATCTTGAAAATAAACGATTATTTCGACAAATGGGAGTTTTCTATCTTATCCTTTTCTGGCAACTAATATGACATCTTAAAGGTCCTTTAATTTGGGCTATTAATCATTCTCAATTTGTGAGTCTGATTCATATGTGATTGCTATAAAAATGACATATGCAAATCAAATGCCAACATTTCCAACACAAAAGATTGTTCATCAAGATTGCAGTCTCCATTATCCAACTCAATTATGGTGTAGAACTCATATATGCAAGAACAAAAGAGAATGGAGTAAAGAATTAAGAAGCATTACTAACCTCCACGATTTCGCGAGCTCTATCCATATTTCGACACAAAGGCATATCAAATTTGAGCATAGCAAGCTCATCAGTATTCCAAATCAACCTAATTTGTTCAACAACACCTTCATTTACTCCTACTTTCTTAACCTTCACCCAATTTCTCATCTTCCTAGCCTCGCCTCTCAATCTTTCAAGCAGCCTCACATCAAGGCTCAACTCAGCAGCAGTCGTCACTTTCTCCTTCTTCATCCTTCTAAACACCATCCTTTCCTCCCTTTCCCACGGCAGTTTCCGGCGAAACCATCTCTTATCTCCGCCATCACTATCCTCATCTAACTTCCCCAATGACAAATCAAACTCGATTTGTTGTAAATTATTCTGGGTATCCCTTAATTCTTGACTTTCTTGTTCAAGATTATCTATACTGTACAAGATTTTCTTCATTGCGTGCTTGCCTCTTCCTCCGCTAACTTTATGGGTCAATGATTTTTCGTCTTTGTTATCAGAAGACTTGTTCCTGTGCTTAGGTTTTGAGAAGTCCACAACTTGATTGGGTTCAAGAACAAGAGGACCCTTCATCCATGGGGCTGTTTTAGTGGCTGAATTTGAAGGGTTTGGGTTAAATTCATGTTTTTTGTCATGGATTTCAGGGGTGGGAACAGATAACGAACTGTGATGAATTTGTGGATTTGAGGAGTGAATCTTTTTGGGGAGGTTCAAAGCATTTGAGAGCATGGTGGGAGAGAGAAACATGGTAGCTGACACTGTGATGGTACCAAAACTGTCAGCCGAAAACAGGTGCTTCGAGCTTGAATTTGGATGAAAATTTTTATCCCAAGTGCAAGGAGGTGCCATTACATCTTAACATGTCATTGTCTACGTGGCAGGGATTAGCTGACCAGGCAAGCTCTTCCACGTAGGTATGTATGCAATATAGTATATAGTATGATTTTCTTAAATATATCCGATTTGTTTACCAAATGCTTACCTGGTTATTTACTTTACTGGATGAATATGGTAAGGATCGAAAATTTTATTCAGTAGGAACGATGTTGAGAACCGAAAGTCTTGCCGACGGTAAATAGGAATGACGACTCTTAATACATATGATGTCATTTTGATGGACTCGGATCTTACCCTGATAAGTGAGAGTGTTGATTATTACCGATAAACGCTTAACGAGTAAATATTTAAGTAAACATCCCAGAGTTAGAAGGTTTGTTTTATAGTTATATGGTTAGAAATCATCTACCAAACATAAATCAATCAATGCTAACTCAAATAATCAGAAAATAAAGCAAAGAAAGATGTAGAGAAACTGCAAATTGGGATTTTCTTTGGCGTCTCGTTGGATTGAAATGATCAGCATAATTGGGTTTTTAGGGCCCATTTCAGATGAGCAACTCCAAATCCAATTGTATTTTGTTGGAGATGTGTGGAAAATGTAAATATGTATCTTAACCGGTAAGAGCGAAGACAAGAATCGAGAGTCTTACTCGGTAAGTAAGGGCGACGACTCTTACCATGGTTAGCGCCTACCGGGGTAAATTGTTGCATAAGAGGCGTTTTGATGAATAAAATCTTACCCGATAAGTAAGCATTAGTGTTGGAATTTTATCGGTAAACGCTTACCGGGTAAGTGTTTAGATAAACGCCCCTTATCCTGGTAAAGACACTATAAGATATCGACCCTGATAAACTTAATGGTCACGAATTATTGTGGACTCCTGTAACGAATTATTGTGTACGCCACTCATAAACACAGGGAAAATGGGTAACATGTAGATCTTTAACATGATTCAGCAATAGTATTTGTGTCAGATTGCACGAAAAAGACTAGGATGCATAAATTTCCAAGAAAATGACATGAGGCCCCATTCAAGATCTACACCACCTCTCTTTTAGCAAATATCTAAGCAGAAACAAGGGGATCATCATTCTTCACCACATATTTCACCAAATAATTCTACATGAACACATGGATCTGGTCAAGCAAAGATTAGAAATTCATACATTGATCAGATCACACTTTTTACTGTCAAAGATGAATGTAAAAATTCTACCATGAGATGAAGGAACCCTCCACCACCACCATGCTTCTCTTCTCTCCCAATCAAACCAAGCTAACCTAATTTAACCATTAAGCAGCCATTTACGGTCGAAAAAGAAAAATAGTTTTTAAATGATAAAAGCAGCTGCTACCTAACACAGAATAATATCATCATATATTCTTAGCCTCGTCTTCCAAAGGATCACGAAGGGTACCAAACATCCAATCCATCCAAACTGTATAATGCCCATAGTTGTGACGATATGTTGTGTGATGAATGGTGTGGTATCCTGCCCCCATTACCGGCCAGAGTTTCCCATGAATGCAATCATGAATGTTGGCCGTCCAGATAGCTTCAATGAACAACAGCGCGATGTGTGTTGTAAAATGTGTGGGCACTAGGAAAAGAGCGATCACATGAGGCACTGCCTGCAGTATTCCGTCTAGAGGGTGGAAAGCCAGTCCTGATACAGGAAAACTCACCAATCAGAATTCAGACATCCATTTGCTGCTTCTAAGCTTAAAACTCAAAACTTTTTTTTGTTACCAAAAAGATAGAGAAGCTTATGCTTATTCCAATTACTACATCAGTCACCCTGAAGTTTTCTTGTTAAACAGGCTGAAATGACAAAAACCCTACAGTTTTCTTATTTAAGCAGGGAGCCAAAAAGGGTAGACTAGAAATCAATTCTTTTTATGTTGCCAAAAAAGAATCGAAAACTGAAGCTTCTTCTCAATTCTTAATCAAGAACACTAAAATTTTTCCCATAGGCATACATGACAAGAACCCTAAAGTTTCTGTATTTACACAGGAGGCTGAAAGGTAGACAAGAAATCAAAGCTTTTTTTTTTTTTACCAGAAGCAGGGAAAAAAAACTAAGCTTATTCCCATTTCTACACCATGAAGGCAAGAACCCTAAAGCTTCCTCGTTTAGCATGCATATTGAAGAGCCCGAAAAACATTCTTATTTATGCCGAGAGCTGAAAGGGTAGTAACAAGATTAACTTTTTGGTTTATTGGTTCAGAACTTAAAGGGTCAACCTCTTTGTTTTCAAAGAGAAAATGAAAATCTTAGCTTACTCCCATTTCTACATCAAGAACGACCTAAAGTTTTCTTGTTTAACAGGCCTAAATGGCAAGAACCCTAAGGTTTTTGTTTTTATTTTTATTTAAGCAGGAACCCAGAGAACGTAAACAAGGTACTCACCAGCAAATGGGGAGAGCGTATTTTGCTTATTGTAGATATGATGAGTTGCATGGAGATATTTGTACAGAGGCTTAATATCATGCAACTCTCTGTGCATCCAGTAGATGCCAAATTCGACAATTACGAAATAAAGACCCAGATACCAAATGTATGAAGCCCATCCGATGTCACTTATCCGTGAAAAACATCTTGTCCATCCATTTTCAACCATGTACTCGGAGATCGTAGGAAGAACACAGTACCATGGCATGGCCTTCATTGCAACATATATTTGCAAAAACATTGCTTTTCTGGAAGGGATAGCATCTGCAAGCCAATAAAGATTTCAATGGAAGAATACTAGATTTTATTTTCTATAAAATCAACATGACACAAATCTTCTCCATATTCAGTGATGCAACTCTTGTCAATTTACTAAGAGATTACAGGGCATAGAACATAACTATTATCTGATTCCAAAATAATTAAAATTGGACTTTTGAGTGTCAAATGAGTTATTTTTAACTTCAAAATCGACAACTTTTTCATTGTGAAGAAAATTTGATCCCCACATTTGATAATAGAAAAAGCATAAGGAAATCAAACAAAATTTTGAAGTAAAAGCTCTACAAATCTATGTCATAAATTTGAATCAGAAAAGACTCAAGCTTGAATCTCTAAAACCAGTAGTGGGCTCCATGATTTCAGGGATGATGTGCATCATCTTTCAGCTATAGTAAATCTACTTTCGTCAGCAGTCCTATCTTAGAAATGGAATTCTCTCTCCCCTGAATTAACAGTATAGCCAAACCAAATCCTAAGACATATCTTGAATGTTCAAAATGGGGATCAAGATCAAGAAAATCTAGAATGCTAAATCATCAATCACTATCATATGCTAAAGATTTGCTTCAAACAAAACCCATAAAAGAAAATTGATACCTATGAATCTGGATGTGTGGTCCAAATCCTAAGTCAAAAGAAAAAATCAACCAATCTTCTTATCAAACACATGGTGTGCATACAACTAGTGCTTGACCATAAAATCACAAAAATGCCGACTCGCTTCAAGCACAGAAAAATCCCCAAAGTGTAAAACCGAATGAAGCTTAGAGTTATCAAATTAAAACCAAAAAGAAAACGGAAATTTTCATCAGCGAGTTCTCAAATTATCAACAAAAAAAAAATCTAACCTTTGGGAAGATAAACATTACGCTTAAGGTGATAGATGTAGAAGCACCAAAGAACGCCAGAAATGAAGTAAAGAAGGGTGGCGGCAATGTAGTTACGCAGCCAGCCCTGGACGAAATGTGGGAGCGGAGTCCATAATTTTTCCGGCAGTAAACTTCCGAGCACGATCTGATTGTAGAAGGAGGTCTCCTTCACGAAAAGTCCCAAGTAGTCCTCCTCCATCAGTAAACAGAGAGTAATGAAGGGTGATGGTTAATCAGATTCCGATGGGTTCTTGACAAGAGTAAAAAAGACAACTTAGGAGGTGAAAGGACGCCGGAGGGAAGGTGGGTGGTGTGTCTGCAAGAGAAAATGGCGATGCAAATGAGATGCGAATCTGCTGCGTCAAGCATAGAGAAGAGACAATAAGTACAAGTGATTAAGCATGAGGTGCAACCCTAAAGAAGCAAAAAGAAGGGTCCAACGACTTTCCCCTCAAAATCTATACTAAAACACAAAACACCCTGTAATTCAGTGTTATGTGTTTGCTTTTCAGTCAACAACCCCCCTGCAAGAAATAATTGTAAATTGGGTATCTTTATATTCAAAGTCAAAATTATATTTATCTTGATTAGTTTTTATTATAATATTTAATAGTTTTATAAAATATTTTTTTTTACATTTAATTTCATAATTTCTCTCTCTCTCTCTCTCACCTATTTTCTCTGTTATAAAAAAAATATTTTAAAATTTTTATTGGAATAAAAATATCAAAAATCTCCGAAATGGAGATTATATTGAAGATACGACATAAATTCAATATTATTTATTAATGTAATAATGTTATTTGTGATTTTAGTCATTATTTTTATATTATAAAATAAATGAATTCTCATGTAGGTAACTGTTACAGAAGCTTTTGAAAATAAAAAAATTAAGACTGAAAAGTTTTTGGAGCGATGATGTAAAAAGATTAAAAATAGAGGAGATTAATTGTACTTCTATACATTGTTAAATGCATCCTTACATGCTATTTTTCTTCTTATTAAAATACACTTTTTAGTTTTTACATTATCAATACATGACTTGACCTGATTTTGACATTAAAAAAATGCAAATAGCATTACACTTGAAAATTTATATTACTAAGGAATACGAATGGTGCTTGTGGTTTACCAATTAGCATTTGTGCATTTTTAGGATAAGCTAGTTGTAAAAAAAGCCTTATGTTTTGCTTTTTTTACATCTTGGGGCCCTGGTTGTTACTGACCCTTTTTTAAATTAACATGTAACGTTTATTTTTAAAATGTGTTAAAATTTGAAGTTTTATTTTACTTTTGGTTGATAAGAGGTAGTGTTAAAGTCTAAATTCTGAATCATTAGGATTGTTTGTTTTTATAAACTAATAAATGTCTGAATTTGTTTAACTTGTCTATTTTACCAGTTTAAAAATGAGAGTGTTTAATTTATAGATAAATTTATACAAATTCACATATTTATTCATCATCATTATGAAATTTATACCTAAAATATATAATTAGCATTTATTTAAACAAAAATATGTCATTAACATCATTTAATACATTTAGATCTTATTAAAATATATCAATTGAGAGATGTTAGGATCAATTTAGTAATGATCGACTGAGAGAAATGATCGATCAATGTTAATTGATTGAGAAACGTTGTTGTTGAGGGTTTGGAGAAGAATAAGAGGCAAATAAGAGGTTGTTACCTCTTACCAGATAAGAGGACAATATGACATAAGTGCCTCTGAAAAATTGGAAAAAATATACAGTTTGAATAGCCTCACTTACCTCTTAATGAATTAGACATAAAAAAAAAATAAGAGCTTTTTTAGAGGGAAAAAAAACAAATGATTGACTTAGAGATGTTGAAGTGAGGTCTTATTTTATATCTTATTGATTAAAAATGATATTGAAGTTTAAAGTCAAAACTAATAAAACTATTTGTTTTTATAAATTGTAAATGTCTAAATATGTGTAAAACCCTCTGAATAGCTCCATTAAGAGACAATCTCTAATTCACTAAGAGGTGAATCTTGTTTGATAAAAAAAAATTTGTTTCTTAATGATTCTAAAATCCTCTGAATGATTTTGTATCTTGGACCTCCCTTGACCATTCAACGCCTTAATTTTATTCTGAACAATTATCACGTAATTATATTTCATTTTGCACTATAATATAAGAATCTTTTAATCATTCTGAGTTTCTAACCATAATCATTTTAAACCAAACTATTCAATAACTGTCAAACATCCATTAATTGTCCTTTTTACTTACGTGAATATCATAATATTGAATTGACATAAAAAAAAAACCTGAAATAGTTATCAATAAATCTTTGGTAACTATAACACCGATTTTCTACCTATATCATTAACCTATTTCACCTATTTATTTATTATAATTACGAAAATTACATCTAAATATAAAACTGTATTTTATTTTAACCAAAATATACAATGTCTATTTATTCTGATAAAATATCAACCATCAAGAGATTAGACATAATTTGAAGATAAAGCCTATTGTCTCTTTTCTTGTTTATAGACAAAGACATTCCTTCCCTCACCTCCATCTTTATGTTGAAAAAATTAAACTACAAAAGTTGGATTGACTTCAAAGAAATCTCATTGATTTCTTAGAAATAAAACAATCACAAATATACATATACACATATATATATATATATATATATTGGTTCTTATATAATCATTGACATTTATGCAACCAATACAACTTAATCTCAACCGTCCATTTCATTTGATTAATATATGATTTCATAGAAATTTTGATTGTTTTCTAATATAAAGTATTGATCATAATTAATGAACCGTATTCATCTTACATAAATATTCAAATCATGATAAATGAACTCTCATCATTTTCATAAACATCTCAATTTATTGGGGTTGCATTGGTTGTATAAATGTGACGGGTTGTATTTGAAACAAACTCTCTCTCTCTCTCTCTCTCTCTCTCTCTCTATATATATATATATATATATAGGGGCCTAATCAAATGAGAATTGAATAGTTTGTGGTAACTGTGAGATCCAATCTCAACCACAAATCAACGGATAAATTGAGAAATTAATAATTATGGTAGTTTGAGTTAAAATTATAATGAGAGTGCATATTAGGTATTTTTAAAAAACTCCTCTCTCCTCTCTCATCTCTTCGACCTCCAATCTCCGGCCTCCAGTGAAATCGGTATCACAGTATATCACAATGGGCATCACATTGTGTATTACAATGGGTATCACATGTGTATCTTTGTTTTTAAGGTTTGAGTTGGTATCATAGTTGGTATCACAATATATCACAATGGGTATCATATTGTGTATCTTTGTGATTACTTGGTATCTGCCGGATTAATGTTCACCGGAGGCCGGAGATTGGAGGTCGGAGAGATGAGAGAGGAGAGAGGAGTTTTTTAAATACCTAAAATGCCCTCTAATTATAATTTTAACTCAAACTATCATAATTATTAGTTTCCTAATTTATCCGTTGATTTGTGGTTGAGATTGAATCTCACAGTTACCACAAACTAATCAGTTCTCCCTTGAATGGGCCCCAATGGAAATGATATTTCATCAGGGTCGTTCTTTGCGGTGTTCCGCTATGGAAAATTTACCAGGAGCTCAAATTCAGTCATGTACTTTTAATTTGATATTTCGTCATTTCGCTACATACTTATTTTTATTTGTAAGACTTTTTAACATAATATGTGAAAACGTTATGTTTTATTTCACTTATTAATTATTCAGTTAATCTATAGTGTTAATACATGTATAACAGAGGCTTAAAAAAGATTGAAACAACCATATATTTCCCGACACTGATTGTAGGAAATAAAACGTAAAACCTAGAAAATTAATTTAAAACGTGAAAAACATTACAACAATTAGTCAACAAAGAAAATCCCATAAATCCTTTTTTTTCAAAATGAGATGAAAGATGGGAAAACAAGAATCATTCGATTGAAAATTTACAAAAAGTAACAATCTTTTTTTCGATTTAAACATGGTGGACCTGTGAAAGTCCTTTCAACGAGGAAGATGTTGAAAGCAATTACGAAACACACACGTATGTGTGTATATAGTAGTTATCTATCCGTGCACGTTGCTATTCGAAGCATATCGATTTAAAAGACAAGCATTAATGGTTTTGTTTTTTTTTTACAATTGTAATTTACAAAATTAAATTTGGATTTATGTTTGAAAAAACCGGAAAATGAAATCATTTGTAAGAAATCCATTATGATATTGCTTAAAACGTCCATATGGAGCGAGATCTTCTACAACGATTGTTTCATCTAAGAAATCTTGGAATGAGGCCCTATATTATAATGTTTTATTTATATTTTTGCAAACACTTCGGTTTGTTTATAAGAAACAACAAAGCATGATGGGTAAAAAAAGACCAATTAACTTTTATTGTATTTGATCTCAAATACTATTAGCATATGATGTTAATGAATCAATAACAAAATCTACGCTGATATTCATTCAAGAATCTAAGGAAATTCATTGAAGAGGCCATTAAGTCGCTGATAGCTTCAAAACGAAGTAACATCTAACAACAACTCGTCTTTGTTATTTTCAGTTGATGGATCATCTACACATTCTAACCTCTGAAACCTCATTGTGTTGCTCTACAAACAACACCTCAGTCAATTGGACCACTCAAAAACTGGTACAACTGCTTTAAACCACAATTCGTTGGAACAGGAACTGAAGAACATTAAAGTCCTTGCGGTGAGTGCAACACTCACTGGTCCACTTAATGATCAAAGTCAGCTTCATGATTTGACTTAAACCAAGAGTCACTGAAAACCATGATTTGTCAAAAACTTAGTTTAATCCATGCGAAAGAGTACCCTTAAATCACTCCTTAATACATTGTGAAACCAAGGTCATCAGTTCTCTCTACCTTTAATTATGTTCTATTTCCAATATTTGGTCGATTGAGAATCATTTCAATGGTATCATAATGAAAAACGTACCAAAGTCACTACATAAAGGTGGTGGGATGCATTATTGGCTTGTAAATAATGCTTAATGCTTTAAAGGTTGGGGGAGAAGGGTAAATTTCAGAAATTTTAGGAGCTTGACCTTTTATATGCATTGGATGATGGTACATCAAGCAAGTATAAATATATCCAGTGGCGGATCCAGAAACTTTTATTATTGGAGGCACATTTAAGAGTGTCATTTTTTTAAACCAGATAACTCATTCGAACCAATATGATTTCAGGTTATTTGGTTTCCTGATTAAACGATTCAGTTATCGAATAAATATAACTTATTCGGTTTGATTTTCAATTAATTTTTTACTATTTTGGATAAACCGAGACATCATATTGCCATGTACATATTATACTTTTCGGTAAAACCAAAGCAAATGAACACACTATACATTCATAGTTAGTAGCAAAAAATTAGAAGGCAAGCGATCGATAACTTAGATTCAGTTAAAAATGAATCAGATAGCAAAATGTCAAGAAATCAAAAATAAAAGACAAACTAGTAGCAAACCTTAAATCAAAATAACAAACCCAAATTAAATAACAAATTAAAGAATCCTAAATCAAATAACAATTAAGAAAGAGAAAATTAATAATTAACAAATAACAATAATTATAAATCTATAAAACAATAAAATCCAAAAAGAAAGTTGGAAAAAATCAACATAGTGATTAATCAAATCATTAGCATTATAGCAAACAAAATAAGAAAAAAAAAATGATTTTCAACAAATTGAGACTTGGAACTTAAGTACGTTTAATTGATCCTTGAAATAATGACTCGTTGAAGTAAGAATTATAATAAGATGCATAAATTTAGATTTGAAGTCTTACTTTTAATTGTTGGGGGACTATTAATAATTTTTTGGTTAAAAAGAAAAATTAAAACATACCATTCATGCTTTATTTTGGTGTTTATTGAGGATTTGGGGTTATTTTGCTGGGGTCTGTCCCCTACCCCTTCAGTGTGCATCTGCCACTGAGTTTAACTTTTAAATCCAACATTAACCGTTTAAAAATAGATAATATATATATATATATATATATATATAAAAGCATATATATAAATCTCTTTTAGAATATTCTTAAAATAAAGTGTACAATTATTTTTTTATGACGTCATTTTTAAATAAAAATCCGAAAAGACGTAATATAGAAAATGTAACCTTTTAGAAATCAAATTCATAAGAAGATAAAACTATAATGACCAAAAATATGAATTTTTTTTTGAATGAATACAAAATAGCTTTTTTTATGTATTAATTTTTTTATCAAAAAAATATGTAGTTTTATTAAATAAAAAAGACTTAAATGACAAAAAAGAAACAAAATACGATATCTAATAAACCAAAAATAATAAAATCAAAAGACTAAAATACCCCTAATTTAAATGAAAGATTTTTAATACATTTAGTCCTACAAATCTTAGAAATGAAAAAATAATAAGTTTAAATCATAAAGACAAAAATCGAAATGGATGAAAATCGTAGTTTACTTAAATACAAAACAAGTTAATTCGTATGTATTTATAATATTTTAGGTCCATTTTGATGGTATTGACGAGACGATTGTAATTGTGTAATTTATAAAAAAGAAAACGCATTTTTTAAATAAATTTGAGTTAATATACGATTATTTATGTTAATATGGTAAAATTGTAAAATGAAAAAACAAAGAATATAATATAAATTGAATAAATAATTATAAGGATGTAAAATGTAATTTAAATATTAAAAATGATTTTGATTTTCAATATGAAGATGGGGAACGTTGGGAAGTTGTGGTTGGACATGAACAGGAATTTGGCTTTACAACTTGTATATTAAGCTTTAAAATGTGTACCTTTTAAAGTTTTCAAGAAAACCGTAACTCCTCTTTTTTCAATTAAAAGACGTTAATAGATTTTAAACTTGTATTATCAACGACTCAAAAAAGATCTCAAAACTCAAATGAATTTATATACGTTCTTCTTGTGTTTTATATGTTTGTATGTATGTATATAATGAGGGTCGATGACTAAAATTCCATATTAATAGAAGTTGAGGGGCCGTTTCTGTAAATTGTTCAAAAAATAAATTCAAAAGCATCTTTGGCAGTTAGGTCAAACGAAAATGGAGGAAGACGAGAGGAGAGAAGCAGCAATCGCATCATCTGCATGTCTGAACCCTAACTTCAGGCCCTCCTCAGCTGTTTCCAGGGTTCAGCTTTCGAAATTCCAGGTTTATAATCCATTAAAAACGTTGCTATTCTATGGTTGAAATGCTTACGATCTCAATTGCGATTATGATTTTGAGCCGGTGTTAATTCCTGTGACTATCTAAAAGGATCACCAACAATTTTATGTACATTTTCATATGATTTTTATACTTTCTGGAATGGAATGGTTCGTCCTTGACGGCTTGACCACATGTGCTGGACCCAAATTTCTAATATGCAAGTTTGTAGTTGTGAATTAGCCCTTTATGTGGATTTTTTATGTCAGAGGTGGAACCTTACACAGATACTTGCAGATGACTTCATGATTTTGATGTAACCTGTGTTTTGTGATGTGGATTTTCATGTAGAAATTAGATTGCTCATGCTTACTAATTTCCTTCTTACTAATTTGATCTGATTCCGACATAAACAGGAACTGCACAAGAGGCGTTTACAAATAAAAGAAAAATCCAAGATCAAAAAGAAATCAAAAGGTGTTGGTTCATCTGCACACACTTCTTTTTCCTTTCTTGTCATTCATTTTAAGACAGCTTCTCTACAGGGAAGTCATCTGGGCCAAGCAGTTCAGAAGGGAAGGATCATCATGCGGATGGATGTACAAGTGAAAACCCATGTAAAACAGTCCAAGATACAACCAAATATGCCTCATTAGACAGCCATCAAAATAACACTTCGCCTATGCCGAAAGATGTGGCAGCATCAAAGAAACCAGAGAAGCTACACTGGGGGTAATAATGTGCAACTTTTGTTGTTTAAAACTGATTACATTTTTAAGTGTTTATAACTCATTTGGTATGTTCATTTGCAGGCTTGACACAAAAGAAAGATGGGAAAGGAAATCCAACATGTAGTTTTATGCCAGATGCCAGCATTTATGGCTTGTTCAAGCGGAAGAGTTGAGACTGTTATGACTTGTGAGCATGACAAAAAGGCAGATTAGAAACTTTTGGGAAACACAATGATCATAATCTACAAGGCTCTTTCTTGTGGCATCCATTGAACTCATTTAAGTTTATGGGTGTGTTTTCTTGGTTTCGACCTTTTCGTAATGTGAAATTTGTGGCTCATCTGACCTTTTTTCTACCGAATGTGTTCAAGATTGGACCATAATCCCATAATTTGCATGATGATATCTTAAAGCACTGAAAAAAATCCAAGTTCCCTTTGGTTTCTGACTTTCAAGCCCAACAGTTCAAACTGAATCACATCAATAATCAGGTTTGGTTAACGCATTGAGATCTTCTCCTTGTGATCGTGGATCCTACTGTTTGGGATTCACAATGGCAAGGAGATGAGTGTGGATGTATTTGGAGAAAAAAGTTGATTACCGACAATTCTAACCGGTCCCATGATAGAAGTGTGGATTTATTAAGTAACCTGATTTATATTGATGCGAGTCAAATTGCCTGTTGAGCTTTAGAATATTGTAATGATGAATATGCATTTAAAGGATCTGGATAAGCACTGTTGACTGAATGGTTTTTGGGCAAAAAGCTGTCTTCTATATGCATCTTATTGAATACTTCGAGGACCTGAACCTTGTTAATATGGCTAATGTTGTCCAGTATCTTAATTTGCTGCCAATAGCGGTTGCATCTGGTGGCCCTATTGAAAATTGTTGCCGATGTCCTATGCTTTTTGAGGGTGGTCCTGCTTCGTTCTTAACCTTTTTTCACTCATTCTCGAAGAATTTTTTTTTTTTTGAGGCCTCGAGTTCTCTTGTAATTTTTGTTTTTTTTTTTCAAATAAATTTTCCGAGGTTCCATCCCCTTTATCCAAAAAAGAAGTTTCCCATAGTAGCACAAATTTACAATGTGGGCAGATTTTGAACCATGAAGAATAATAAATCTAAACCAGAAAAGTTGGCTGCATAAAGATTAGTGAGCTGCAGAAGCTAAGCTGCCTTATTATTCCAATCAAGATTAGATCAACGCCTAAAATGTGCATATCATCAGATAGCTGGGCTAAGTTCACGCTCGATATCCTCCAACGATCGCCCCTTTGTTTCAACAACATTACCAGCTATGTACATTACTGCAAGAAGACAGATGGATGCAAAGCCCAGGTACACTTTGCTTATGCCAAAGTTTGTTACCACGCTCAAGAAATACAGCCCGATAACAAAGTTTGAAATCTGCTCAACCACAACATAATCATTCGTCAATAAAATTTTCATGAGACAAGAATGAAAAAACAACTGCCATTCAGTAATTTGATTGCACAAGGGATTTAAAGAAGAATATCACAATTCATTAAAAACATAAGACCCCCCCCCTCCCCCCAAAAAAAAGGGTAAATGATCATATTGTTTGTGTGAGAATATGTGGAATCCGGGATTTCTCTCCAAGGGAACCCTTGAGGAGAGAAAAGAAATTCCAACACATATGGAGGGAAAATAGTCCAAATCTAGCCGATATGGGGCTCTAACACGCCCCCTCCAACGGATTGCCCCAGAGGCTAGACAGACACATTGTCCCAGAGAATCGACAGGGGGTTACATTGATTGTACAGATTGCTCCGGAGTGTCCCTGGAGTGATAGACCTCGGTATTGATACTATGTGAAAATATGTGGAACTCCCATATTACTACTCTACAAGACCTCGGTATTAATACTATATGAAAATGTGTGGAACTACCATATTACTACTCTACAAGAGATTCCTTGAGGACAGAAGGGAGGTTCCGATATATATTGTCTATTGAGAAATAGTCCAAGTTTAGTTGATGTGAGACTTTAACATTTGAGTTAAAGATAGAGGACATGTGCCATTTCAAAAACAAAAGTGAAGGTGTATATGCACATAGAAGAATTACGTAAACTTGTATGAATAAAATCTTGATTTTACATGTAAGATGATTGAGACTTACCCAATGCATTCCAAGCGATAAGGCAACTGCCTTTGCTCTAATCCTCGAAGCAAAAATCTCTGGTAGTAAAAGAGCAGGGACAGGGCCAGCACCAAGCGAGAACGATAGCACGTACCTGTGGAATTGATGTCAAGGGCACATGTGGATGGTCATGATCAATGAAGTATATTGAAGAACAAAGTTTCTATAACTAGCCAAAAGCCAAGATGTCTTAAAACTTACAAAACAGTTCCAATAACAGCAAGTGGTCCAGAGTACGGTGCCAAAACTTTCCAAGTGAAGGACAACGAGAGCAGCAACATTGAAATAGCCTTACAAACAAAAACGAGTATGAATGATCTACATGATTTCTAACTTCTAAGTGCAGTATATATCTCTGGGAGATAATTATATGTATACCATTCCGGAAAAGCTTGTCATCAGAAGACTTTTCCTTCCTTGTTTGTCCATCAATGAAGATGCGATCATTGTGCCTGCAATAAAATGAAGATCAGAAATATTTTGTCATTTGCAAGTATCATTGTCATTTGTGATCTCTAATTTGAAAAACCAGAAAAGGGTCATCTGACCAAAAACATTTGCTGCCCCAACGAGAGCGCTGGCTGCTACATCCGACGCCACTCCTGCAGTGCGGAAAACGGAGGTGGAATAGTATACAACTGCGTTTATTCCAGCCATCTGTTGGAACAAGAAAAGGGCTGCACCAACACTCACAACTGCCATACGAGATACATGTAAGTGTTTCATGATATAATGTCAGTAGGCATGTTGCTACAGGTTAAATTAAGTGTTATATATATATATATATATATATATATATATATATATATATATATCACATATAACAATGCTACCTTTGAAGTACCGACCACTGAAAAGATCAAACCAACCAGCATCTTGTTCTTCGGAGCCTTGGCCAGATGCACTTAAGTCGGCCATAACCTCTGCAACTTTGCCCTCGCCATATAATGTTTTTATCGCTTTCTCAGCTTGTCCAATTTTCCTTTGCTGCAAGTAAATGCTCCCAGATCAGTGTTCACGCCACACTAATATATGCAAGAATGCTCACACCACAAAGTAGTTTATGCAAAACCTGAACAAGCCAACGAGGGGATTCTGGAGAAAATGCCATTCCTAATGCCAAAAGAACAGAGGGGATAACTGCAATAGCAAACATCGTTCTCCACCTGGAAAAAAGGCGTAGAGATAAACATTTACTGATGCGAATCAGGGCACTAAAGCTGCTTAACCATAAACGCTTGAAAATGAGGAAAAGCACCATAATGGGTTTCCGGCTAAGGGTAATCCAGCCACCAAAGCTGCAAGGATTCCAACGCAAATAAATAACTGGTTGATAGATCCAAGAGTGCCACGAATTTCGGTTGGTGATATCTAAAAGAAAGGTGTCAGGTGAGAAATGTAAGGTTGTTGAATAGAAAGCTAGAAAAAGGTTGTGAGAAGAGTACCTCAGATATGTATAGAGGGACAATAGCAGATGATATGCCAATTCCAATGCCGGCAAGCAAGCGGCCTACTATCATTGTCTGTACATTTGTAGCCGTAGCACTGAAAAAATTAAATCATATTAGGAGCATCTATGAACACAAAATCATAGGCAATACCGATGGACATGGAGTCTAATTAGAATAAAAAACAGTTCTATGACTTCATGGACCAACTCTCCGTGTGAGATACAAAATCAATAGCAATTATGGTGACAAATGACACAACTAACACAGTTATCATGTCTCATCTGGTTTCTTCCAAAATTTGGCTCATAGAAACATCAGTCTTCAACTCTTCATCTTGGTACAGTTCTGTGTTGTGTGTGTGTCAACCTAACAATTACAGACAATAAAATTGGAAGAATATCAAACCAAAGAAAAGCTCCGATTGCAAGAGGAATTGCATCGAGCAGAAAAGTCTTCGTTCTTCCAAATTGGTCAGCCAGAGAGCCCCCTGTAAATGAACCAACGGTGGCACCAGCAAGAAGCGAGCTAACAACCCAACCTGCATGAAAAACACCCATGAAAAAAAGTAGAATACCATACAGGCAGATGGATAAGCAAACTGATTTCAAGATCCTATCAATTCATAGCCTTCATCCCAGGTGCAGCCATGCGAAGCAAGATTAAGTATAAGGCTACATTATACAATTGTTAACAAGCAAGAACTTCAAAATGATCAAGGTGTGGCTCGAACGATACCTTACGGCCAATGTCCTGCACTTGGATCACATAATCCTATTATTTGATTCATTAACATAAAAATATGCCTTCATTATTGGATATAGTTGTGCTTACAATTGCTTCTTCAAATTTACATCTTTGAAGCAAATCTACGATTCTATATTTATTCTTGATGCAGATTTGAGTATGTGATACAAACCAAGATTTGCAAATACTATGAACATAATTCAAATGGACGAAAAGGAGAAAACTCAAAACATAAATCGCGTTTATCCAAATTATGTAAAACGTGCCTTGTAGAACAGCATTTTCAGCAATACCAAGATCCTTGGCAAGATACTCGAGTGCACCATTGACCACCCTGAAAAAGAAACAGCTTGCAATAATAGAAGCATCATAGAAAACTATGATGTCTAAGACTGATATAAAGGTGCGTACCCTAGATGATATCCGAACAATATGGCTCCCAGACTAGCAACACCAACGTAAGGCAAAACTGATCCAGAAGATTTTGGTTGGCTCTTGAGAGGAGCAACCTCTCCATCTGCATTTTGATTAATGTGCAGCCTTGTTAGAATGTAGTGATTGTATCACAGGCAGTGAATCTAAATCAAATATCTTGATTGTCTAATAATTATGTCAGTTAGGCACTTATGACCACAACTATCTTGGCATATCCATCTTCTGTCTGGTTTTCTTCCTAAAAATGGAGTCGGTCATGCTTTATGCAACATGTTCGTATTACTAAAGTGCACAAGATATACATAAATACTAGCAGACTCTTTTCCTCCTGCAACTATTAGTGTGTCTATTTGTTGATCCCAACGGATCCCTCTGCACTAGAACACCTTAGGCATAATGTGTTTTGGGGGGGGGGGGAGGGAGGGAGGAAGTCTTTGTAGGCAAATACTTCACCTGCATTTTGGAAAGAGGTTCTTTTGGTGACTCCTGAAGTTTTGTTGCACCAATTTTGTACCAACCACAAGCATATCTTAGTAGTTGATGAAGTCTTTTAATATATTACCAACTGGATCATGCCTAATCATAGCCTGAATGCAGAGAATTTTGAAACTTGCAGTTGATAAATACCATTTCGTTCTTCCCCTTGTATCTCCTTCTTAAATCACTTAAGCTTGCCTCGATTGAAAAAATAGCTAAGGAATTCAAAATCCCAAATAACCTTCCATTTTTATGAAGAACAAACTTAACCAAACTAATTTATTCAGATAGCAATCAATTAACTTAACATTAGGTCAAAAAACCAATATACAGAATATTTATGCACATAATTGAATTGAATTGAATTATGAAGTAATTAGACAGCATAAATCCAACAAAACAAACCGGAAGCTTGAGCTTTGATTGATCTGGACTTGACAGAGGAGTGGAACACACTTCCAACATCAGCAGCGGCGCCGAAGCGACCGAGCTCCAAGCCCATATGACCGGAGCTCAGTCGCGATCCGAAAAAAGAATCCCTCGGAGTCCCAATGATGCAGGCAGTGCCTTTTTTGTTGCTGAACCCAGCGGAAGTCGACAAAACCCTACTGCTACGGTTTTGAAGATGGAAACCGCTGCATCCGAAGTTTATAGCTTGCATCTTGAACTAGAAAATTGTTAGTATATGAACAAGGTATGGAAGCAATGCCTGTAATAAACTGAATCAGAGAGAGAAGTGTGGATCTGAATGGAAAGGGAAGGGTTCTTGTTGTTTCCGTTGCTTTGGTGGCACCGATGGTTTGGTAGCGGGAGGGAATTTGTTGTGTTATGGAATGATCCAGTTAGCAAAAAAAGGGAAATTGAAAAGGAAAATAGGTAGGTTGGTTGGATTTTAGCTTACGTAGATACGTGCAGTCGCATCCGTGTGATTTGACTTCCAAAATCCTTCATCCTTCATCCTTCATCCTAATCGGATGACACTCTCCCCTTCTAATTTTACTTTTACTTTTATCCAATCTCCAGATTAACACAATCTCAACATAATATTAATTTATGTTTCTCCATTTTATATTATAATATTAATTAAATTATTAAATTAATTGATATCGAATATTTTATGAAAGATATGAAATATTTTAATAATATAATTGATATTGAAAAAGTTGTTAAGGATGAATATAAATTTTTTATTAAAGATTTTGATATTTAATTCTCATTTTAGAGAATCTATAAGATATGCTCTAATAATTTATTAAATTACATGATTTTCGTAATTTTTTAATTTTTATTTTGATATGTTTCATTGTTATCGATAAAATTCATATTTAAGGAGAGTCTGATTTAACGGAATATCAAAATCTAATGTAATTAGTGACATTTTTTTTGTTTCAATTTAGTCGTCTTGTTGGGATGCCAAATGGGAGGAACTTTAAGAGACATTAATCCAATGTTTAGTTTGTAAATGCTTGTGGATAAGAGTTAAAACGTTATTAAGATTTTAGTTCATTAAAATGGTTTTATATGTAGCAATTTATCCGATAAACGTTTATCGAGTAAGAGTCATTACTCTCACTTGTCAGATAAGACCATTGGTCTTTATCGTCACTCTTACCGGGTAAAATTATCTCAACACTTATTATGCTTATATAATAAAGTAAAGTAACATGATTTTAATTTTAAACAAATTACTCACTGGATTAATATTAGCCTATTCTTATTGTTGGTGGTGGTGTTTTAAATAATTAATTGTAGTTTAGATATGTAATGTAAGGCAAGACAAATCCTTTAGTAATACGAGTATGTAACAACATATGACGTAGATATTAAGTTAAAATGATTAGTACTTTACGCAATCAAAGGTAAATCTAGAAAGTGAGAGGTAAATATGAGACAGTAACTTGTACATCCTGCAACAAACACCATACACTGCTATGGTAAAACCTATAGATACAAGGTTAAATATGCTTTACGTAAAATAGTATCCGTACAGCACAAGAAACAGAGGTTTAAGCTCATTTATTTTTCAAATACAACTTCTGCTACTTTCCATTGTAACAAAAATGTCTTCTTATTTTTCTCATCATTTTTTCTGTTTTTTCATAAATTTTTAAACGGATTACTTCATACCACTACGCTCGTCGACCCATGAAGTTATATCATCAAAAACACGAAGAATCATGTCATCGGGTTCACCTTCAAGAAGTGCATGATAAGCATCATCATAGAGATTAAGTTTCTTGTCCTTACTCCTCGCTTTCTCGTACAAAGCTTTACTGACGGACGGATCTGTTACTATATCAGCTTTTCCGTGCAGGATCAACAATGGCAATGAGACCTGCCACAGCATAGAACACGAGCACATCAAAGATATATAATTAAAGCAGTTGTATAATCATTAAGGTTTTGCGTTTGGTATGCAACGGAATTGGACATGATTGGATGGAACAGGGTTGGACGAGCAAGAGTGAAGTAGGCGGCTGAAAGAACGTACAAGGTTTAAGGGCTTCAATACGATGGGTAGTTTAGTAATTTACCAATATTCTCTCATTTCTCTGATTTTTGTTCCACCTATTTTGGTGAATCATGTCCTGTCCCGTCCCAATCTAAATGTCCCACCAAACGTGAGACAAGAAGTTTTTGTTCTGGCATGTCCAGTGTACTAAATGCAGTTATAGGTTACTTTTTCAAGTTGACTTTCGATCTCTTGGGTCGTGTTTAAGAGCTCCATAGCCGTTCCCAAACGTGGTCTATCCTTGTAAGCGATAACATTATAGCTCGTCTGCATACCATGAACAGTTTAACGATTTGGTTTCAATATGTTCTCAAATAAGTTAAAAACAGCAAAACTTAAAACAAACCAGAGGCTTCTTTTTCGGTTCTCGGAAAGCCATATCAGCTAGATCCTTTTGTGGAACAAGCTTCGATTTTGGGAGAACCTTCGCAACACCTATGAGAAATTGCTTTACTGCCCATGGCGGGACTACATCATCTGCAATCTACACTTATTTTTCCAATTAGTTACATTACTACACGTCAGTTAGTATAGTACATAGAAACGCAAGGGCAGAATAGTACTTTGCACATAGGTGCGACAAGGATTGCGCCATTCCAAAACTCGGGCTGCTTCAAGTGCACCTTCAGAGCCACGGCTCCACCCATCGACTGCCCGAGCAAGAATCTTGGAAGATCACGTAATTCTGGATTCTCTACTACCCAGAAAATTATACTATGAATTTGAATCATTGTTATCATCAAAAGCCTATCTTTTTCTTTTTCTTTTTGGTAACTATAGGTGTCCAGATCAGCTTGCACGTACCTCAACCAATTCCATAGGCCCCTAAAGATAACAGTCAGGAAATCCCAAGTGGCCTGTGGAGACTCATATTGATTGAGCTGGCCCTCGAGGTTGCAACGACTATCTTGATGACTCAACAACTATGATTTAAACCAATAACGGTTCTACTATAAATTGACCCATAGGACCATACCTTTGATTTTTGAATAATGTTCGATAACATCATCTACTAGACTGCTGAAGCTTGGGATGAAGCCATGAAGACCTTCCGAAAGACCAAATCCTGGCAAGTCCATGGCAAGAACTCCGAATCCAGATGAAGCCAACTTTCTAGCAATTCCTGTACATGCCACAGTATTTGATCACAATCTGGATGTCATCAAAACAACGACTTCTAATAGTCGTTAAGAACGCATACCTTCAAAGAAAAACGTGCAGGTGTCTCCATAACCATGGCAGAAACAAATCACGGCTTTGGGAGATCGTTTCTCTGGAAGCCAACTTTTCGAGAAAATTTCCAACCCTCTAGAGTTCACATCATATGACTAGAAAAAACAGGGGACGCAAGATCAAGTGACCATCTGTGTGTTAGAAACTTCTTGAAAACATATTAATATTAACTTAACCGTTGCTTTAAGTTTGGATCGATGAGCTGAATGATGATATAGCTTTTGATGGTTTTACCTCTTTTGTTTTCAATCCATCACACGATGTCTGTAAAACATTTGAAAACAAGCAGCAAGTGTTATTCGAAGTGCAAATATCTGGTTCCTCTACAGGCAACAAATTATTCAAACTTGAACCAAAGATCCTAAAAACCAAACACAGGATTATTATCGTCACTGATCCAACATTTCCAATCTAGTCTCATATATTCTATCAAGAATATGAAATTTGTAGCCAAAAATTCAAACTTTTTTCTAGATATGGCAAAGGTACCAACGCCCTTGTGGCCATGTAGGTTCACCAACGATGTCTCCAAACCATTCATGGTCACCCAGGATCGGTTAGAGCGCGTAAACCAGCCCAGGTACCCACGGTTACCAAAAAAAACAAAAAAAAAGGTATTTTTGCTTTGTCTTTTGCATAACCCAACATTCATCCCATTAATTAAACGCCCAAAACTATTTTACATATAAGTAATCAAAGTTCCAATTATAATTTCCTCAAACACAAATGCAATTCGGGCATTCGGGCACAATCTTGAATCGAATTTTTGTGGCTTCCATCATTTTTGCTGCAATAAAAGCATGAAACAAAAGATCACACCTTTGTGTACCCAATCAATATTTCATATTCCATTGTTGTTAACTTTTCTTGGTCACCTAAATCGATCAATAAATGCATCCAACAACATCCCACTGATCAATCCAATCCAACACAATACCTGTGTTGTCCATTATCAATCTTTTGGACTCAATAAATGCATTCAACAACATCCCCACACCACAAGCAATTTAAACCATCATACTCGAAACAGAAATCGCAAAATTTGCAGTAAATAATCAATCACCTTGAACAGAAGATGGTCAATGTTTAGCTGAACATCCTTGAAGGCCTCACGTGCACGACGCCTAGCTTTCACGTCATCCATGTTGGCATTAAGCGTCTCCTGTAATTCAGGTGTTAATTCTTCGACTTTCAACATTTTATCAGCTGCGATTCCTCTTCTCTTCGCTAAGACCCTAACCCTAAAATCTAACAAATTCGAAAAGGGTTCTTTCAGTCGGAAACGAAGTCGGTAAGTTTATCGAGTTGTTGATGGGGTTTGTTGTTACGATTACCGTGAACCAAGTGTAACCTCCTGGTCAAGTTTCCAACTTTCAATGCCATATGTTGATTATGATTTAAGTAATCGATCTTTTTGTATGTTCCAATTTGATGCAGTGAGAGAAACGCAATCTGGTAACCTTGATGATTGATTCAAAATTGGCAAGCTAGACTAGGAATTTGGAACTTTTTGAAATGGGTGTCCATACTATCTCTAGACTTGCAACCTTGTCATTTGATTATGCAATGCGCAATTTTAGTCCCTTGATCATAGATTCAATTACAAAAACAGTCCATATTTGTGTGGATTAGAGTGTTGGGCGATAAGGAAACCCATGAACGGAAGATGGAGGTCGCATGAATAAGTATGTTTAGATGGTAGAACCAAGTTCGATAGGGTATTGAACGAGGTCTCCTGGGCAGTGTTGGTGGTTGTGTTGATCAAGACAGGTATCGACTCCGCGAGTTGTGCATGCAAAACAATAGCCGAAGCGGGTTTACACACGACTAAACTCGTTTTTCTCTCCTCTTTCATCAAAAAATCCGTCACCATAACATATATTTACTTTAGTAGTGATCTTGCTAGAAAATTACTCTTTTTTTTCACTTACACGACATTTCGTTCCAATCCCGATGTAAACTTTGTTTTAGATTCAGATCAAACATAACCTAAAATACACCTTTTTAAAATTATCTATATAATGTTTTATCATTTATAATTAATTTTTATTTTATTTTAAACTATAAAAAGTTTAATAAAATTTATTTCATTTTCTAAAACCATAATTGCAATTATAAAAAATTACTATACAAAAAAAAAAAAAACAAATGAAACAGGTATTAAATCAAAGAGAATGAAAATAAATGAAAACTTGTGATTTTCGTATGTTGGCATTTGAATGAGAATCATAGTTTATTCAGTCAGCTATATAGATTGTTTGATAGTAGTTTAATTATATAGTAAATGACTTATTCAGTCAGCTATATAAATTGTTTGATAGTTAGTTTAATTATATAGTAAGGGACTTACTCAGTAAACTTATAGGGGAAAGTTTTATGCAGAAAGTCAAGTTTTTTTTTTTAAACTTGTCTCTCCCAACTAAAAAAACATGTAAAGCATTTTGCTTAAAAAGTGAAGTGGAGTCATTTTTTGTTTCGTCGTCGTAATGTAAAAAATTATAGAGTCGTGAATTGTGTCATCGTATCAATTTGTTATGTCCCACCATATATATTTTAAAACTATGATTAAGACATTAGTTTTCTTTGGTAGAGTTGGTTTGCAAGACTTTTCTTCTACCCGAGGGTCAAGTTTGAATTTTGTTAACGTTATTTTCTTAGTTTTTAATTTTTAATTTCTTATGTTTCTGGAAAAAAATTGCAATAAAAAACTTGAATGCAAACCTCACATGAAAAACAATTAACTAGCTAATAGATTTTATTAAAAAACATCCATATATTTATTTCTTATAATCAAATGGTTCACTGTTTGAAAAAAAATCTAGGTTCGTCTCTGGGTCTTGGATTCAAGTTCGGACCCCGTCATGCTCCTTGTCACCAGGTGAGTCTTAGATAGCTCATTCACAATAAAAATCCTTGGGGGTGGATGTTGTGTGGGACCGGTTGGATTGCCGATACTCAATCTTTTTTTTTTGCTCAAATAATAATAACAACCCAATCCAAAAAGGAAAAAAAACATATATACGTCATTAGAGCATCAGTATCATCCAATTCACATATTAGTGTTATATTGTTATCTAACTGTAATCAAAACAACAACAACCAAATCATTCATATTTCATGTGAACAACGAAAGAGTTTTTTTTTTTACATAAGGTGCAACCACTAAAGTTTGGAGTGGGCTCTGAAATATTAGAGTTCTTGATTCCCTCTTTGCCTCTTGCACTCCGGTATACATGGAGACAGATCACACGTTTTAATTAAAAATAAATAAAACAAAACTGAGGTGGAAGTGGTCATTGATCAGAGTCAAACGTCAATAAGTCAAAAAAAGGATGTGATGGTCCTTTTTCTTATTTTGTTCCATCTCCAAACAAAAAAAACACCTCCCTGTTCGCTACCAAACGTCAATTGGCGTCCAACCAAAATCGTCAATGTCCACTACCTCTAACCACCCAACACAGGGCATCGACGACTGTTCCAACTTCCTCTCAGCTTCTCAGGGGTCTTTGTTTCTCGCAATCTCTCGAGGGTTACTTCCAAAATGTAACTTGAAATTACATTTTTCCCTGAATTTGTGATGATTTTGCCTTAAATTTACAATGTTATACAATTAGTCAATTATGATTTATGAAATATGTTTACATGATGATTTCATTGATTTGTTAAATTGCTTACATCATTTATTTGTTTGCCCTAATTTGATATTCGTCAACAAACCTAAATTTGGAATTAGGTTTGCCCTAAATTGATTAATTATAATATTGTACAATTATGTTTACATGACTTCATTGATTTGTTTTCTTGATTTATTTGTGTACCCTAAATTTGACATTTGTCTTTTGCCCTATAGTTTGATTTTAGTCTTAGCCTAAATGGAATTTATTAGTTATAATGTTATACGGTTATGCTTATATGATTTCATTGATTTATTTGTTTGTTTTGAATTTTTATATTAGCCTTTACCAAAAAAAAAAAACTAAAAAAATTCTCTCGAAATCAATCAAAAAATTTTCTAGAAAAAACCAAAAACATCCCTTGAAATCAACAAAAAAACTTACCCCCCCCCCCCAAAAAAAAAAGACGGAATTTGGCTAGAAATACATCAAGCGATTTACAAGCATTTAAAGGTGCACCCGCTCGATAAATTTTTTGAGTCCGCACTGATACTGCTTAGTAGGATAAACCAAGAAAAAGAAAAATCTTTCATATTGGACCAAGAGGTTGTTTGTTTGTTTGGTTTCATTATCTATAATCTATATATATACTATCTTATAAATCATTTGGCTAAAACTCTTAAAACTTTTAAACCCGTTAATCCCTAAACGATTTCATCCCTATCCGATTTCATCTCATATCTGAATTCGTGTAACTAACTGCAGATAAACACAATCAAATACAGGATAAACATCTCATTTTAAATATAAAAAATCTAAAATATAATTAAGATAATTATCGAGTTCTAACAGAATACTTAATTATTATCTTTATAAAATGTTATATTATTAAACCAAAAATAAATTATTTCATTATTRAACYTAAATTAAATTATAATAAAAAAATAAATTAAAGAAATTACGTAAAAAATGAAAACTTTTAAATAGTTGATTTGACATTAACATTGATATATTTTTTTAAATTTTTATAATATCTTCAAATTTATATTTTATTCAAAAATAAAATCATTATTGTTTTTTTTTTAAACATATAATCTATACTATCTATACTACATTATAAAACATTTGACAAAACTCTTAAAAACAATTTTTTATGCACGAAGTAGTGTTTATTGATGCATATTATTTAAAATTTAAGATTACAAGTAAATTATGCATAGTACAACTTATTAAAGCTCCATACTTGAATTCGTCTAACTAACTGTAGATAAACATAATCAAATATTGGATAAATATCTCATTTTAAATATAAAAAGCTAAAATATAATTATGATAATCATTGATAACTAACATAATTTAATTAAGAAAGTTWCACCAAAACACAAGAACTTTTAAAAAGATTAATTTAATACTGATMKYGWKATTTTTTTTCAAAATTTTATGATATTTTTAAATTTATATTTTATTCAAAAATAAAAATATTATCATTTTCTCAAAACCACATAAAACAAATGTTTACTTAAAATTCAAGATTACAAGTAAATTATGCAWAAGTACAACTTATYAAAGCTYSATWTYTKAWTTCGTRTAACTAAYTGYRGATAAAYATAATCAAATARAGGATAAAYATCTWATTTTAAAATATAAAAAATCTAAAATATAATTAAGATAATTATCGAGTTCTAACAAAATAATTAATTATTATCTTTATAAGAAAATTATATTATTAAACCAAATATAAATTACTTCGTTATTGTACCTAAATTAAATTACAATAAAAATTTGAATTAAAAAATTACACAAAAAATGAGGAATTTTAAATAGTTAATTTGATACGAATATCGATATATTTTTGTTATGCATAAAGTACTGTATATTGATGCATATTACTTAAAATTCAAGATTACAAGTAAGTAATTATGCATAAGAATAACTTATTAAAGCTCGATGTTTGAATTCGTATAAATAACTGCGGATAAACATAATTAAATAGAGAATGAATATCTTATTTTAAAATATAAAAAATCTAAAATATGATTAGAATAATTATCGAGTTACAACAAAATAAATAATTATTATATTTATAAAAATATATATATTATTAAACTAAATATAAATTACTTCGTTATTGTATACAAATTAAATTATAAAAAAATTAAATTAAAAAATTACACAAAAAAATGAGGAATTTCAAATAGTTAATTTGATATTAATATCGAAATATTTTGTCAAATTTTTATGATATCTTCAAATATATTTTATTCAAAAATAAAAACATCATCGCTTTTTCAAAATCGCATAAAGTCATATTATAATATCGACTGAGATAAAAAATAAAATGAAATATTAAAATCACGATGTATCTCGCTGCATTGCACGAGTACGCTTCTAGTTATATTATAAAACATTTGACAAAAACTCTTAAAAATAATTTTTTATACACAAAGTACTGTTTATTGATGCATATTACTTAAAATTTAATATTACAAGTAATTTTACGTAAATACAACTTATTAAAGCTCTATTTTTAAATTCATGTAACTGACTATAAATAAACATAATCAAATATAAGATAAAAATTCATTTTAAATATATAAAATCTAAAATATAATTAAGATAATCATTGAGTTCTAACATAATGTTTAATTATTATCTTTATATAAAATTATATTATTAAACCAAAAATAAAAAAATGAATTGAAGAAATACACAAAAAAAAAATTAGTTTGGTACTAATATCAATATTTTTTTTTCATGTTTTTATGATATATCTTCGTATTTATATTTTATTCAAAAATAAAAACATTATCGCTTTCTCAAAACCACTTAAAATTGTATTAT